AACACACACAGCTTCTATAAATTAGTTAGGGGTTAGAGGGGGGTGGAGGAAGAGGAGGCCGAGAGGAGGCCCGCGGGGGGGGGGGGGGAGGAGAGGGAAAGGAGGTGCAAAGATGGGAAAAGTAGCCAAAGGGGCCCCAAATTATTGGGTGCAGGTTTGAGCACCCAGGAAGTCAGGTGGCTAGAGAAACCCCCAGTAAGAGCCAGCAGCAAGGCTTTATTTGTGGGCCACATGAAGCCGTTGGAGGATGGGGGCGGTAGTGAAGCAGTGAGGAAAGTGAGGGCCTGGCGAAACCCCCTAGTTAAGGGCAAAAGAGTTAGACAGCTGGGAAGAACAGGAGTGTGGGTGGCAAGCAGGCCTCAGATCCATAGGGCACTGCACAGGCTCTACTCAGCACTTTCTTATAGAAGGCAGGATTGTTACTCCCTCCTGCATATCTAGGGCACTGTCCCCCATCCCCCAGAGAGAGCCCTCTATGGGGCTGAGATTCATGTTGGCAGGGAAGGGGTGGAAATTTCACCTTGGGGAGGGGATATGTCCCTTCATTGGCTTTGAAGAGATTATGTGGGAACAGTCATACAGCCTGGAGTTTTGGCTGCCTCCTGATGGTTTTTGGCATTTTTTTTTTTTAAAGAATCACAAGGCACATGGTCCTAATATTTTATTTATGTGTTCTTCGAACCTTTATTTAGGCTTGTCTACACATAAAGTTGTACTCTTTTAACTGTTAACCATACTAGTATATTTAAAGTGTCAGCATGGATAAACTTAGGCCTGACCTACACTAAAAAGTTTTACTGGCAAAATTTTCCTTTTGGCAGCACCGTTTTGCATATGTCTACACTCAGGCCTCATCAACACTACCAAGTTAGGTCAGCTCAATTACATCACTCAGGACTGTGAAAAATGTTACGCCCTGGGCAACATAGTTAAGCCAACCGAGGCCCCAGTGTAGATCACCGGAAGAATTCTTCTGTCAAACCTTCCTACCACCTCTCAGAGAGGTGGATTTACTACGGCGATAAAACAACCCCTTTTGTCGCTGAAGCAAGTGCCTACAACTACAGTGGCACAGCTGTAGTTGTACCACTGTAGCATTTCTAGCATATACTCACACTTATGTGTGATTTCTGCCAACCAAAATCTCAACATTTGCCGACAAAGTTAAACCACTTATACTGGTATAAAGTTGTTCATATCAATATAGTTTATTCCCGTAAAGGATGGGGAAGGCATCTATATACAAGTATAATTGTGTGCAGACTAGGGGTTGTACCGGCGTACCTATTTCAGTAAAATATCACACCCCGACATGAAAGAGTTATACTGGCACAAAACCAGTGCGTAGATCAGGCCTTTATTACCAGTATCCTGGCCATGGCAGGGCAGCTCTGGGTATACCATTGATCATTGTGTTCCCTCTGCTGACCTTGCAGCAGTAGAGTGCATACTGATGTTACAGCATCTGCATACATTGCTCACCCATGTGGTCAAGTATTAAAAGCAAAATTCTTATTTCAAACACTCAGTACAATCCATTCCTCTTCCTTTAGAGAGAGTTAACAGTAATGACAAAAAAAAGTTCTCATCAATCAGCAATTTAGGACCGGTGCTGAAAGCCTGATGCAAGGAACATTCACAGTAAACATTTTGGCCAGAGTGTAGCAAAAACACATCCTATTGAAAGAAATGGGCAGCACACTCCTGTTAAAAAGCCTTACAATACCACAGAAATAATCCTGACATAAAAACATTTGACACACATTGTGATAAAATTCCTATTCCCACCTCCCGTTTCAGCATTTCAATATATGCAGCACTATATTCAGAATAAGTTTTGATCTATCCAATGGAGGGCAGACTCAGCAGGGCCCAGATCCAGCACCACCCAAATAAACACAGGGCACTCTCACATAGAGTAGGGGCTGGATTCCTTAATGGCCCCACTGGACTCCTTAATATTCCTCACCCATGCCAAGCCTCCTCCCTCTGCTCCAAAGAGACTCTTCAAGCTATATGTAACCAGCGGCGGCTCCAGACACCAGCGCTCCAAGCGCGTGCCTGGGGCAGCAAGCCGCGGGGGGCACCCTGCCGGTTCCTGCAAGGGCGGCAGTCAGGCAGCCTTCAGTGGCTTGCCTGCAGGAGGTCCGCGGATTCGGCAGCAATTCGGCGGCGGGTACGCCAAATCCGCGGGACTGGCGGACCTCCCGCAGGCATGCCGCTGTAGGCAGCCTGCCTGCCGTGCTTGGGGCGGCAAAAAAGCTAGAGCCACCCCTGTATGTAACCATCCACTATGTCGTGGGAGGAAACAAAAACTCTCAGCAAAGCTCCCAGACACACAGCTGGGGAGCAGTAGCTCTGTGACAGACTCCTCTATGGTCCCAGAGCCCGTGGAAGTCCCTCTCTGCATAGCGGTGGGACCTTAGCTTTGGGTGAGCTAACCAGCTAGTGGAAGTCAGTATAGAGATCTCCTCTGTACCTTGCAAATTCCCATGGGACTGATACAACCAGCAATAATCGGCCTGTCTTCACTCTCTTTGAGCGAGGGAAGTACGGTACAGGGCACAGAGGGAGCGCGTGGGCCCCAAGAGTGCTGTGGCTGGGTCAAGGATCGTCAGGGATGGAGCCTAGTTGCCCAGCACAGCCCAAGTCTCCTTAATCTCCCTCCCCATACACCTCTCCCTTAAGGGGAAGCAAGCGGCAGGAACTCCACAAGGTGAACTTTACAGACTTTGCTGAATATGTCTCTGCTCTCCTATGTGCTTCTCCACGTTAGCCCTTGTTTTGTCAGTGACTCGCTGATGCATCAGGCTCCTTCTGCCTTTGGGCCCAGCTCCCAAGGACCCTTCTGTAATACACCTTGCTCAAGTACTGCAAATAAAAGATAAAGACAAAAGGAAAATATGATGGAAGGGCGTATGAGAATGAATGAATTTCCCAGCTTATCAGACAAAGTTTATTAAGTAAGGCAGAAGTGCTGCAGAGGATCCCTCATTTATTTGTCGGTAGTTTTTGGCCACCAGTTAGGTATAGATGCAGTAAGGTTCACACTAGTGTCGCCTGGTAAATTGATATGAAGTGGCTCATTTATGTTGGCTAATCGCAGCAAAGCTATGCCAAGTTCATCTCCACCGGCCCGGTACTTGCCAGCTGACTTTCCCGATTCAGTTACGATCGCAGCCCCCTCGGGGATGCTTCCCAATGGCAAAGGAGCTGAAAGCTGCACTGGCAACAGGCGTTTGCGGATGACACCCGTGTGGTGGGTCCTAGCTGTTAACTCCTGTCCAATATAACAGCCTTTGGTAAAGCTGATTCCATTCATGTAGGCCAGGTTGGATTCCAGTGGTAAGGCTACTCCTGGGGGGATGTCTTTTACGCCTTCAGCTATTCCTGGGGGGAAAATAGAAGTAACTGGTAAGTTTTGTCCGGCTCTCACTTTTAGCATCTATCTTGTTCTCAGAAAACTGTAATTAAAAAAAAAGAGTAGAAATAGTTTGAAGTTATTGGTTTTTCAGTATGTTGGTTGGAGACCTACGTTGAAATCACTAGTCATAACTGAGCAGAGCTAACAAAGGCTGATTTAAAAGATGAACCGAAAAGCTGTATTCGAGCCTGATCTGACATTCTGAGTATCCACGAGCACATGACTGAAATGGAGGGCAGTCAAAACCAGGCAGGACTGGACCCAAATGAACCCATATACATTTAATTCGAAGGGCCATATCCTGCTCACCTTAATCACATAAGTAGACTTTAAGGTCAATGAAGAGCTATTTTTGGTCATAAGCTATGAAATAAACATAGGATGGTCAAATGAAAATACCGCTTCAGCAATCAGCCCAATTATATTTTTATCTTAAAAGTCAGGGCATACAGAGAAATAAGAAACATCCAATTGGTTAATAACAGCTTTATGGAAACGTTAATATTTTATTCTTTTTGACAATAGAAATAACTTCTGATGAAGGATTATTGAAGGAAATACTCGGCGTGGATCCATTAAAAACTATGCACCCATCTTCATTATGACCATAGACTCATTGTACTATATCCGAAGAAGTGAGGTTTTTACTCACGAAAGCTTATGCCCAAATAAATCTGTTAGTCTTTAAGGTGCCACCAGACTCCTTGTTGTTAGTGTACTATAGGAGCTCAGACTCTAATATATTAAATACTTAAGGTAAAAATATAGCTTAACTGAAGTATTTCCTGTTATTACCCAATAGTAGACTGATTTTCAGTGGGAGTTTCAGGTGCTCAGTATCTATGAAAATTAGGCCGCAAGTCCCCTTCTTTATTTTTAAACCTAGAACTGTGGTTTAACTAAGATAGGCTCTGATCCTGTCCTGCAATCTGATCTGGAAGGGCAGACCCTACAAAGTTTAAGGCCAAAAGAGGGGAAATAGATCATCTAGTCTGACCTCCTGTATATCACAGGCTATTAAATTTCACACAGTTACCCCTGTATTGCTCCCAATAACTTATGTTTGGCTAATGTGCATCTTCCAGAGAGGCATCCAGTCTTGATAGGAAGACAGCAAGAGATGGAGAATCCAGCACTTTCCTTGGTAGTTTGTTCCAGTGGTTAACCACCTTCCTCACTATTAAGTTTGTGCCTTAACTTCAGCTTGAATTTGTCTGGCTTCAGCTTCCAGCCATTAGTTCATATTATGCCTTTCTCCACTAGATTACAGAGCCCATTAGTACGTACCTAGCATTTCCTCCCCATGAAGATACTTATACACTAATCCTGTCACCTCTCCATCGTCTTTTTGATAAACTAAACAGATTGAGCTCTAGGGTCTCTTGCTAGAAGACATATTTCTCCAGCTCTCAAATTATGTTTGTAGCTCTTTTACACAGCCTCCCTAGTTTTTCAAAATCTTTTTAAATATGTGGACAACAGTATTCCCACGTTGGTCTCACCAATGCCAGATACAGAGGCAAAATCACTTCCCCACTCCTACTCACTCACTATTCTCCCTTATACCCAAGGATCACATTAGCCCTTTTGCTAGTGTCACACTGGGAGCTCATATTTTATTTGCTTGTGTACTATAACCTCTAGAGTCACTGCTTTCCAAGATACAGTCCCCCATTTTGGAAGTATAGCCTACATTCCCTGTTTCTTGATGTCTGAGTTTGCATTTGGCTGTTTTAAAATGCATTTTGTTTGAATGTGCCAAGCTTACCAAGTGCTCCAAATCCAGTCTGTATGACTGCCCTGTCCTCATCATTATATATCTTTGTCAATCCTTGTGTCGGCCACAGCGATTTTATATTTACTTCGGATCACAGATAAAGTGTTGAATAACATTGGACCTAGTACGAATCCCACTGGGACCGAACCCATTTAGTGATGATTTCCCAGTGACAAATACTTTGAAATCTGTTCGTTTGCCAGGTCTTAAGCCATTTAATTATTGCTTTGTTGACATTGTATACTGCTCACTTTTCTAAATCAGAATATCATGCATTACTAAGTCAATTACCTTACAAAAATCAACCACACTTGTAATCTCATCAAAGAATGAAATCGGGTTTGTTTGACGAGACCATTTTTCATAAAATCACATTGACTGGCATTAATTATATTCCTATCCTTTCATTCTTTATCAATTGAATCCCATTTCAGATTTTCCATTCATTTCCCTAGGATTTGTCAGGTTAACCAGCCTATAGTTACTCAGATCATCTTGCTTGCCTTTTTTGAATACTGGCACAACATCAGCACTCTCCCAGTCTTCTGAAATTTCTCTGGCATTCGAAGATTAATTAAAAATTAACATCAGTGGGCAGAGAGCTCCTCATCCAACTGTTTTAGGACCCTTGAGTTCAAGTTATCTAGGCCTGTTAATATCTAGTGGATGATGTTTAACATCCTCCTTAGTTACTAATAGAATGGAAAGTACTTCATCAGACATATATGATGCAAGTACATCATTCTGCTTCTTTCCAAATACGGAGAAAAATATCTATTGAACATTTCTGCCTTTTCTGCATCATTATTAATAAATTTACCATCTCCACCTAGTTATGGGCCTATACCATTTCTTGGATTTCTTTTGTTCCTAATATATTTGATTTTAAGTAAAATCTCCTTATTGTCCTTAACCCTGCCAGCCATAGAGTCTTCCCTGATGATTTTAACTCCCCTTATTATCTGCACTTCATAATGAATATAAATTAGAAGTTATCTATTCCTCCTTTTTCCTTTGGTTATATGTTGCTTTTTTATTTATAATTACTGTCTTTGCTCTGCCACTGAACTAGGATAGGCTTTTAGCCAAAATTGTCCTTTTTCTTGATTGTGGAATCGTGGCTTTTTGGCCATCTAATAAACTCTTCTTAAAGAACTCTCAACCTTCATTCACATTTTTCTGTCTAAATTTGCCCTCCTCATCAACTTCACTCGAAATTTTCCTCAGCTTTGAGAAATTAGCCCATTTGAAGCACCAAGAATATATACTACTTTTCTCCCTTTGCCCACATTAAATGCAACTTCCTGTCCAGTGATTCATTTCATCTGATGCCTGGCTGGAGTCCCGTGGAAGTCAATAGGGCTCTGCATGGGCACAATGGTGAACGCACACACGAGACTGCAGTATCTTAGTTACCAACTCAAAGCAAATACATATCGCTTTGATCGTAAATTTCTTTATGAATCCAGTCATACATTTTTACTAAACAGGCCATGTTCGTTTTTTTTTTCCCCACAGCAACAGGCAAACAAACAAGCAAGCACAGTTAATATTCCAAAAATAATCAAAATGACTCAAACCACAAAAATGTCTGACCATATGGAAACCAGTAATCCTTTAGGCATGCCCACATCCATACATGTATTTAAAAAACCCAGCAGCTGGATACTGTATTCAAAATATAGTTATAGTTACTACATCAAATGTAGTCCAAAAGTATTAAACAAGAGCTGTATTTACTACCATGTCAGCAAACACATTCAGACATCCAATACTTAGCATTTAACTTCTTCTAGTGTCTTGCATTAGATCTTGAGTATGGAGTTCTCATAGCAACATACATCTCCCTCATTTTCCTAATTCACTTGCGTATAAAACTTAAATCGGCTTTACCTTGTTTGTACCTGTGCTTATGATAATCGCTAATATTTCCTATATGACTTCCAGGGACAATTTCTAGTGGATTTTCCTCTTTGTTTGTAATTAATCTCCAACCCATGACTTCTACTCTGGGATCAGGAGTTAAAACCAAAGTTTTGTCTGCACATTTCTCAAGGGTACTGGAAACATCTCCAGACTGTTCCTCTGGGATGACTGCCCATAACGAGAGATCAAGGCAGGGGGTTATGTCTACTTTCCTCCGGATCTTGTACAATTTCAAATGCTTTTGAACAGAATCCAGCACTGAATAGTCACACTCCAGCAGGATATTTGGTTCCTCTTCTTGACTTTCATGAAGCCTGAAAAAGTAACACATACAACGTTAAAAGAAACAGAAGTAGTTTCACCAGAGTCTTTTATCTTAATCCTGAGCCAAGTCCAATGATATGCAGAATTTACTAGTGCTACTAGTGCTGATATGGGCAGTACTCAACCTTTTGGACAACTGTGAAATGATTGCACCATACTTTTTTCTATTAAAACAAACAAAACAAATCAAAGAAAGCAAACAAAATTGTAAAATTATAAAGGAATGGAAATCTACACTTAGATTCACCAAGTCCCACCAAACCTATCCAAGTTATTCTATTATTGGAAGGTCAACTCCTGCCATCACGCTCAATGATGCCAGTCGTGAGCACCCAATTGTCCACTGCTCTGACAAATGTGTTTTTACCCATGCCTGACCCCGTTCAATAAGTGGGAAAACACTCCCAGTCCCAGTAAGCCATCATCTTACCCTCCTTCAGAAGCGGATTTACCATGAAACAAACAGTATAGTGGCACGGGGTCCCCAATGACAGGAGGCTCCCAAAATGCAGGACAAATCTCATCTAGCAACCTGCCCCCAAGTTCCGGCCGGTAGCGCAGCAGGGCTCAGGCAGGCAGGCTGACTGCATTCCGTTGCCAGTGGCCTCACGCCGCTCCCGGAAGCGGCTGGCTGCTGGCACGTTTCTGCCCCTGGTGGGAAGAAAGGTGGCTCCACGTGCTGCTCCTGCCCCAGGCAGCGCATGGAGACCCACTGCCCCCCTTCCCCCTACGGGGCGCACAGAGACGTTCCAGCAGCAGCACAGCAGGGCTAAGGTGGCTTCTGCCCATGCTGCCTCCCTCCCTTCATACCATGCCACTCCTGGAAGCAGCCGGCATGTCCCTGCAGCCCCTGGGGGGGGGGGGATGGGGGGAGGGGGAGGGGAATGTCTCTGCGCATTGATCCAGCCCTGAGCGCCGACTCCGCAGCTCCCATTGCCTGGGAACTGCGGCCAATGGAAGCTGTGGGGACGGCGCCTATGGGCAGCGGTGTGCAGAGATCCCCTGATCCCCCCCCGCCTAGAAGCCGCTGCCAGAGGGGTGTGCTGGTCGCTTTGGCAGCCGCGCTGCCCAAGGTAAGTGCCGCCCCCCTGATCCCTCCCACACCCCAACCCCCTGCCCCAGCCCAGAGCCCGCACCCAACACCCAAACTCGCTCCCAGAGCCCGAGCCCCACACTTCCTCCTGCACCGCAACTCCCTGCCCAAGTCAAGGTACCTCACTTTATTTTCATTTACTACCTATTACTTATAATATAGGAGGAGGATGAAGAAAAAAAGAATGAAAAATGGGGGGCGGGGAGATAAGAGAGAACATTCCTTTTCTTGTCTGGGTCCCCGGGGGGGTGGCCCCAAAAGTGAAGCTGCGCATAGGGCCCCACTAACTCTAAATCCACCACTGCCCTCCTTGAAGTCCCTCCTCAAAACTTACGTCTTCCATAATCATAGAATCATAGAATATCAGGGTTGGAAGGGACCTCAAGAGGTCATCTAGTCCAACCCCCTGCTCAAAGCAGGACCAATTCCCAACTAAATCATCCCAGCCAGGGCTTTGTCAAGCCGGGCCTTAAAAATCTCCAAGGAAGGAGACTCCACCATCTCCCTAGGTAGAACATCATGATGTTGACAAGAGGGTTAAACAGCCTTTTTTCTGTTGAACTAACTGCTCAACGTTATGCGTAGATTAAACTGTAATCTGATAACAACTAGGAAGATGAAGCCTGTGATCGCTACTTCTGAATAGCTAAGAACTGCACACATTCTATTATATTAGTTATCCTGTTTCCCCTACCCCGGCCTGCTTGTTCACATCATCCACTTGTTATGGGCAGCAACTGTGTATTTTTGTACAGTGCCTATCACAATGGGGCCTGACCGCTCTATGCCTTTTATGCACCATCACAATATAAATGTTAAGTAATAGTAACTGAGCTGAGAATATCCAAGGGCCCCATTTGTCACTGCTTACAATTATGTAAAGGAGTGTGCAATGTTGCCATTCTACTTTGGTAGCAGTTTAAACCAAGTTTGCACAGATGTAAATGACTGCATAAGACAGTGGAAAAATCAAAGCCAATATGTTCATCATATATCATCATAGAACATGTTCAGACTTGGTGCTTCAGTACTATAGTGAGGGATGCATTAGAAACGGGCACCTTATTATTACTTATTTACATTGTGATAATGCCTACAGACTCCAGTCAGCAATCAAGAGTCCATTGTGCCAGCCCTATTTACAGATTAAAAAAAGACATTTAACTACGATCAACTGGATGAAACATCTTGGGGGATTATTGTATGTGAAATGGGAAATACACAAAAATTCTTAAATAGTAGTGATAGGAATTACCTCTGAAGAACAGAAGTGAAGGGAGAACAAAACGATACATATTAATTTAAATGGGGAAAGATGAGATCTTTCATCCACCTTTTTTTATGAACAAGAAAAGCTAAACTAATGCATATTGTAGGACTGATATGGCCCTGATCCTGCAAAGACTTACACATGCGCTTGACTTTGCACACTGTAAGTGGTCTCATTGATTACAGCAGGTGTCGGCAACCTTTCAGAAGTGGTGTGCCGAGGCTTCATTTATTCACTCTAATTTAAGGTTTCGCGTGCCAGTAATACATTTATACGTTTTTAGAAGGTCTCTTTCTATAAGTCTATAATATATAACTAAACTATTGTATGTAAAGTAAATAAGGTTTTTAAAATATTTAAGAAGCTTCATTTAAAATTAAATTAAAATGCAGAGCCCCCCGGACCGGTGGCCAGGACCCAGGCAGCATGAGTGCCACTGAAAATCAGCTTGTGTGCCGCCTTCGGCACGCGGGCCATAGGTTGCCTACCCCTGGATTACAGCATCACTAATGCACAAAGTTGACCATGGACAAAGGCAAGATCAGGCCCTGTAACATTAGCTATGCCTAGTTGACATTAAAAGAACACCAGCATTTTTCAACAGGATATTTCCCCAACAGTTATTCATAATAAACCACCATTGTAAACGTGAAACAAAGGCATCTCTCCCTCCATGGCATAGGCCAGCAAGTTTACTACTGTAAGGTTGCTTTCATTTGCAATGGGCTTATGACTTAAGAGACCTTTTTAAAAAATTCACACCAAATAATTTAAGAAGGCCCCAAATGAGCAAGATACTTAAACACACGCTTAATTTAAATTACACCCATTTCCAGGGCTTAAGTGTTTTGCTCAATCAGCTCTTAAATTAACTTTGCACGCACCAAATCTGGCCAAGTGATACAATTAGGTCCACCACATCCATATCTGACTTCACAGCTGGCAAACTCATCTGCTCCCATATTAGCAACATAGTGGTACTGACTCTAGCAATGGTCTCTTCCAAGTCTTCCCTCCCCTGCGTGCATTGGTCTCACCTGTAGAGGAGGATATCGAAGAGGCACCGGCCCTGCACGTTGAGCGCATGCGTGTACTGAGCGCGTGGAGGGGGCGAGGGAACCCCGCCCTCCGGGGGACGGTCCGCCCCGCCCCACATCAGTCGCGCCACGTCATTAGTGAGCAGGCCCTGCAAGAACGTGGCCGCCTCGGGTCCCTGCACGCGCAGGAGCGCGCGGCTGAGCGGGAAGCACCGAACAGCCGCGGGTGGGGGAGGGGCGCCCCCGCTCAGCCGCCTCATCCCTCCGCCCCCACCTATCCAGAGGGGGGGGCGGCGGGGTAGACCGAGCAGCGCCGCGCCCGCCCTCACCAACATGGCGACGCGAGGGAGACGGAGGCCCGTCAGGGCGGACCTACGGGAGCAACCTCTGTAGGAGTCGCAGCCGCCATCTTGCGTGAGTCAGGTTGGGGGCGAGGCGGAGCGCGGGTGGTAACAAAACGCTCCTCCCTCCGGAGGTAGCCACGCCCAGTGCCCCTCCACAGCCCTGCGGGGTGGAGCTATGGGGCCAGAGGGCGGGGCCTCTGCCAGCGAGGGACGGCCTCAGGCAGCCCTTGCCCTCTGGGCCCCCACTGGCAACTGGGGGGTTCACCCCCCCCCCCCAGTCAGTATCGGGCCTTGGTGGCTCCCTGTTGCCCTGACACTGACCCCCGCCTGGTGCAGCAGCAGCACCCTGCCTATGTACCAGCTGCTGCTCGGGCACCTCCCAGAGAGTGGCCGGTGGCACCGGGAGAGGCTGACAAACATCCATCGCATGAGCCAGGGTGAGGGAGACGGCCCCTTCCCAGCAGCTGGGGAGGCTTTCCAGCCATAGCCCTCAAAGCGCTTTACAAAGGAGGCCATTTTAGAGGTGGGGAAACTGAGGCGCGAATTGCCCACGGTCACCCAGCAGACCAGTGACAGAACTGGGTTTAGAACCCAGGTCTCCCGAGTCCCAGTCTAATGCTCAAACTACTAGGCCGCTAGGCCCCATCTTTGTTGTTAAACTTGGCACCTGGCCCATACGTAACCTGAACAAAGCATCTGCTTGGCTTTCTCTGAATATGTTTGGTTTTGAAGTCGTCTGGGTTCAATTGCAACGCTTGTCCTCAGTAGGTGCAGTTCTGACATAGATACACTATGTAGCGCCATCTCCTAACTAAAACAGCTGGGGTCATCTGTTTGTGCTCTCTGGGAATTGATCAGCCATGTGGTACGGCTTGGAAAAGGAGGATGTGTTTTGGACCTAGGGTTAATTTTTTTTTTTTTTTTTTTTTTTTTGGCAGTTGTTCTTCAACATGTTTCTACATATCTGCTAAGGAACTCAAACACTGCATTGCTGTTAACTCTAGAGAGAGGATATATGATTGGTGGGATCACATAAGATCTACATTATCCTCCAGCCACCAAGGAATTGAAGATCGGGTCCTATTTATATGTCATAGTGCACGTATGGAACTGAGGTACGTTTTCTCTAAAGAAGCAAAGGGAAGTGCCTCAAGTAAAATCAATTTAATATTTGTGCTATGATTCCTGGGGGGTCGGGGCCTCTCCCTGCTTGTCCATTTCCATTGTCCCTCTCTTTCTTCAATGTGTTGCTTAATCTTTTCCAGACTTCTCTGCTGCTCCTTTAATCACTGGAGCAGGTACATACAAATCTTCCTGTGTACTCAGTGGCTGGTACACTGGAAAATGCCCCCATTCAAACAGTTAAGCTTTTCCAACTGTTTTTTACTGCTCCCTGGGTCTCTGCTGCTGCTTCCCTTCTGCTGGGGCCTCTCCTCACTATTCTTTTAAACTCCTCTTCCTTACATGCTCCCTGAGCCTTGTTTAATTCTCTTTTTGATTCTGCTTCCTGACTTTCTGCTTTTTCCTGCTCTGCCAGTTCCTTCCTGGATGCCTGACTCTTAATGCTAGTTCTCCAGCATTTCCCAAGCTTTCTGCTGCACTCTAAGCTGTTTGCTACTCCCCCAGGCTTAAATGAAAACTGAGGAGGAACATTATCAAAAGCTTCTTTGCTAACACACTGTGGTATTTGATGGTGATGTACAGAATGTTTAATAAGATTGGAATTTGAGTTATGTTACTTTGCTCTGAAATAAAAAAAGCCCTGATGGAAGCGTCTTGTCAAAATGATTTGTGAAGGTGAGAGCTAAAAATCACCATTCCCTGGCTCATTAATAACTAGACTAACTCCAGGGGAAATATATGCTAAGAACTATGATAGCCTTGCTTTAAACTCCAATTTATTACAGTGGAATCATCTCCCAGATTTAAAATATGTTATCAAGTCATCTCTAAAAGCTTGTGCTCTGTTCCTCCTCCCCCTGCCCCAGAAGCTTATTCTCTGTTCTGAGTACCAAGGCTTGGAACATGTCTGTTTAACTCAAGACAGCAAAACTTATCCCTTGGGATCTCAGCTGTATAATGAGAGGAAGACATTTCAAAACTGGAAAAAAAAATTAATTTATTAGAACTGACAGAAGCAATTGAGTATAGGCTGCCACTCAGCCCTGAACTACTTATTTATATTACAGTAGTGTCTACAGCCCCAGCTGAAATTGGAGCCCCATTGTGCTAAACATACACATAGTTAAGAGAGAGTTTCTGACCTTGAGCTTACAGTTTAAATAGACAAGACAGACACTGGGTGCAAGGGTGGAATGGCAGAGTGAGGGGAAAGTAACTTGCCCAAGGTCATACAGCAGAATAGTGATAGAGCCTAGGTTTCCTGACTCCCAGTCCAGTGCCTATCCATGCTGCCTCAGAGCTTTTCTGTCCTCTACAAGGATCTCGGGACAGTAGGGGATGTTGTATACCATGTTTGGTGTCAGCAGCGAGGCACAACAATATGAACAAGAACTAAGGGCATGTCTACGCTTGCCATTTAAAGCGGAAAAAGTCCCTTTTTTTGCACAAAAGCCGTGGGAGCGTCTACGCTTGCCAGTGACTTTTTTTTGCGGTGAAACTCACCGCAAAAAGAAAACCACCTCCACGAGAGCTGTACAGATCTTACCGGTGATGCTTTTGCGGTGCTGTGCAAGTGAAGACACATCCTTCCTGTTTACAGAGCTTTAGCCCCCGCAGGATATCCCACAGTGCCTAAGCTACCGCTCTGGCCAGCAGCTCTGCTGCTCTGACGTCAGGTAAACAGACATCCACCTGTCCTTCTGTAAAGCCCCAGGAACTTTGAAACTCCCCTTCCTGTTTTCTTGGCAAGTGCTCACTTATCATCTGGCCAGGTGACAATGGCTGCTCCATGGAGCAGACGATCCCCTGCTTGGAGCAATGCGGAGCTACTGGAGCTGATCAGTGTTTGGGGAGAG